ACATACGTAATGTTGCGCATACTTAACGCTAGGTAGTTCTTCCCTGCAGCCTGAGCCTCCTAGTCAACCTGAGAGGGTCTCTGGAGGGAGCAGAGGGTCATTGGGGAAGAGGGACTCTGGTGGCCCCACCCCTGGCAAGAGAGAGGCTCTGTGGGGGAAAGACAGAACGTTCTGGAACTTAAACTGGAAGTGGGAGGCAGAGGCGCACCCAGCTCCCATGCCCCACCCTCTTCAACAGTCCTATCTCAGAGCCCAGCTCCCTTGCTCTTCTGCCAAGGCCCCACCCTCTGTATCAGGCCAGAGGCAGTACTGTTTTCTCCCCATGGCCTGTCCTAGCTCCACACACACGGGGTAGGGCTGTGGCCAGGCCTCTGCAGTCAGTATGGTAGTCCATCCTGTCCCAGGCTTCCACATTCCCCACAGTTCCTGGAGTTGAGGGGATCCACTTCCGGTTCCCATCAGCCTGGCTGTGCTTGGGATGGCTCCCCACAAAGTTGTAACCCTTATCTTGCCCTGCCACAGGTACCACAAGCCTGGGTGGTCTTACTATGTAGCCCAGGCTGGCTCAAACTTTCAAAGATCCACCTGCCTCTGTTTCCCAAGTGCTGGGATTAAAGGTGTGCTCCACCATTTCCAGCCTCTGGGTGATTTTTTATTTTTATTTTTTTTTATTTTCATGGTTGGATCTGGACAGCTACCGTATGTGGTAGCACACTCTTCTTATCCCCACTTTGTAAGTGGGAAACTCAGGGAACTCAGCCAGTAACTGCCAAGGTGTGGGTTTACAGCTTCCTGGGGGTTTGGGGGCCTTATATTTGTCCCAGAACCTTCAGCCCCTGGCCAGCAGGCCACCCCCTCCCAGTGGCCTCCGTGAGGAGCATAACACATCTACCACTGGCAGTCCTGGGGCCAGGGAATCAGACTGGATGGCCATAAGTGTGTCTAAGGGCAGTGGGGGCCCCCAAATTGGGCAGAGGCCAGGAATCACATGGGATATCGAGTTCCAGCCACTGAGTTGGGAATCTTGAGGCTAATGTGCTATGTCTGGGGACCACGGTGTGGCACCTGGGTTGGGACGTGGGTGGTCACTCTGAAGAAGGCAATGCCTGGTCAATTTGGACCAAGGAGACATCTGGTGGCCAGTGGGAGACCTGCAGCCTCTTTATAGGTGCCCTGGGTGGAGGTACAGGGTCTCTCAAGTACTTTGGGAACTCTTAGGGATTCAAGAGGGCATCAGACCTTGAGCCTACTCCGGGGCCTGGGATTCAGAGGACAGAGAATAGGTTGTCTGGTCCTCTTCTTATCCTCAAAGCAAGAGGAGAGTTGAGCTGGGGGTCTGGACAGGGGTGATGGTAGACAGGAGGCCCTGCTTCACACTGTTGGACAATGAGCTGTCACCACCCTAATCAAAGATGTAATTACAGCAATATAATCCTAGGCTGAGAACGGATGAAGAGCGGCAGGAACGTACCTTGTGGCCAGCAGCCAACAGTTGCTCCCATAAGCTCCTCTTAGAGCCAAGGATCCAGGCTGACTACAGGGCTCCTGGGACATCCAGATAGGAACTGAGGCTGCAGCTGGGGGTACAGGCAAGGACCAACGTCTGGATCGGAGTATCACGGTTGGTCAATAGATCTTGAGGTCAGGGCCCCAGCGACAAGGGCCCTTGCAGCTAGAAGACAGGGAGTATGATCATTACAAGCCCAACCGAGAGCCCCCAGGGATACCTGGGGCTACAGGATACCCCAAGTGCTGTTTGGAATTTCCAGTAACACATGCTGGGGGTATCTAGACTCTTGCCAAGGCTCAATGGGGTGTATGCAGAGACCAGGCTAGGGGCTAAGCCTGCTTGTGAGAAAGCACAGCAAAGGTGTGGTAGGGGTTGGGGATCTCTGATAACTAGGCAGGTGACTGGCCACCTGAATGGAGGAAAGCTGGATTCCACTGACCAGGCTGGCTACTGTTGCTTCCTCCTTCGGTACAGCAGGCCCTTGCTACCCATCATTCCTCCCTTTTGCACAGGACACAGGACACCGGTTGTCCCACAGAGGTGTACCGAGACCATTTGTTCTCTTGAGGGTTCTAAGGCCTTTTTGTCTGCGGCCCCACTCACACTCAGAGACTAGGAAACCTGAGCACAGGATGAGGTCATCTGAGACCAGTCAGAGCTGTGACTGTCCTGATGGAAAGTTGGTGGCCTCAGCCTCTCTGACCTATATGCTGTGGTGGCCCCTGGCCAGTTCTTCAGGGTGTTGGGACTGGCCCCAGGGGAAAGAGGATGGGTGGGGAGGCAGGAACTGGCAGGCAGGCAGAGGGGAGGGAGGGGAGCCACTGACAGCTGAACAAATGCTTGTAATTTTATAACCAATCTCAGCGTGTCCATGGGGGGCCATTTGTGCCTCCACTCAGGACCAATCAGCCTGACAGAGCTATGAGTCTGCCTGAGTGAGTGTGAGCAGCTCCCCCCAGCGCCACTTACTGCACCCTCATTACCACCACTGGCAAGAGTGGAGGGCCCAGCAGGAAAGAGGGCCCAGCCCAAGGTCCCCAGGGTGAGGTCATGGGAGTCATGGAGATCCAGGGGCTCAAGAGGAGGGAGGGAAAGGACATGAGTGCCTGGGTGATACTTAGCAAGCACTAAATTTAGGATCGAGATAGGGCGCAAGTCCTGCCCTCAAGGGGCTTGCAGTCTGTCCTTGGTGGTGGCACAGACTGCAGATGGATGGGCTTGGGAAAAGGGGGGGATGGAGGGAGGCAACCTGAAGGCAATGAGAAGACTGAAGGACAAGGAGGACAGTAAATGACCAGAGCTAACCAGCATGGGGCCAGGGGCTAAGAGGGAGCAGTAGGTGACCCGCCAGAGTGCAGAGCTTGGAGGGAGAGATGCCACCCATGGGAGACCAGAGGGATGGTGGGGGAGGGGACTAGCCAGTGGTGGGTATTACACAAAGGCCGTGCTAGATATCTGGCTCTGGGGATGGCTCTGTGCCCATTAGTCTCTAATTGTCAAAAATCTAATTTAGTGTCTGGAGCCTGGGCCAGCCTCGGGTTAAATGGAGGGAGGTGGGCCCAGCCATAAATCTGCTCTCCCAGCCTGGGCTGGTGTTAATTCTACAGCTAAGTGAAGAGGTGAGGGGAGTTCTGAAGAGGGGATGTTCTTGATGACCCGGTGTGCCTGCCCCCATGTGCGGGGTCACAGCCAAGTCCTCCTCTCTGGCAGGAAAGAAAGGCTTGCCCGAGTGAGGCCTCGCTGGGACATCCAAGGGGATGGACCTAAAGGGTGAAATAAACTCAGGGCTATCTGAGCAAGAAGCAGGGTTATGCTCGTGGCTCAGCGCTACAGAATTCCCACAGCCACCAGTCCCCAACCTGGACCCATTCAGGGCCTAAGGGGGCTCTACTATTAGAAAGTGAGTGGGGGACAGTCTCCTCCTGACAGGAATCATGCCGTATGATATGCAACATGAGCCTTTTGGTGAGGAAAGTGATGTGACCGATTGTCATCTTGCCACCTTCATTTGGGCTTGGCCTCTCCTTCCCTGGAGGTGGTGCTTGGGGACCTGGACAGCTCCTAGGGCCTCCTGTGGCCTGAGGTGGTGGTGGGGGATCTGGACCTGGGCTCAGTAATGACCTCACTCCCCTCAGAGTCACTAATTGAAAGCAAGGGGCGTGGTAGGCTCAGCAGGAAAGGTTCGGGACTGAGAGAATCTGCTTCCGTGGGGGAGGAAAACAATTTCTCCTGGCTTCAGCTCCATCTCACCAGGCACCCACCGGCCTCTCCTGCTGCTAACCAAGTGCCTTTAATTAGCAGCCTAATAAAATGCTCTTAATTGGCAAGAGCCAATCAGGAAGAAGCAAAATCTCTTTTTAGTCATTGCTGGCTACCCAGCCCTAAGGTTTAAAGGGAAACGGGACCCCAGCCTAACCTTAGGAAGGGTAGCCAAAGGGCTGTCCCTGGAACAGGCCCTGGACCTTCACCTGGGGACAGGGCCTGACACTAGACTGGAAGCCTAGGCCCATGGCCTCAGGCTGTGTCCTGGGCTTAGGACTCAGGCTGGTCAAGACTATCTGGTAGCTGCTGGCAGCTATGAGAGATCTTTGCTGACACCCCCTCCTTGCAACTCTCTGGGGTGCTGCCTATTAAGTGAACTGATGCGGTTGTGGGCATTTAACACTTGCGTAAGATCAGGTGACTTTACACTACCCATTCTGTAAGCTCTTAGTGGACGCCGGTGACACTGACCACAGCCCAAGTCTACCATAGAGAGCACAGTGACTACCCAGGGAAGACGAGGGCACAGCTGAGGGAAACTTACACTATAAGCTTATGGGTTTACAGGTCTTTGAGCCCAAAGATGAATCAGTTCTGACTAGAGCCCTACTGGGGCCACCACAGAGAAGGGTAGGAGGAAGCAGTCCTTTCCTGTCTGTATACTGGTCCTGGGGGAGAGAGAGAGGCTCACTTGGGAGCAGCACCGTTATTCCCAAGAGGCTCGTGAGTCTCTGGCAATGCTCCCAAGGCTGGGGAACCTGTGAGTCAAGAGCTGGAGTGAGAGGCCCCCATCCAAGAGCAGAGGAGAGTTCAGATCAAGGCCAGCTGTCACCACAGCCCTCCCTGTGGCTCAACATGACCCCGCAGAAACTACTTGAATGCCGAATTGCTTTACAACATTCAGTCCCGTTTTTTTCTTCCCCTACTTTTGAGGTAGATCATCTTGCCACGTACCCTTGAACTCAAGAATCTCCTGTCTTGGCCTCCCAAGTACAGCACACACAACTGGCTGGACCTTGGTTTGTTTTTGATACAGAGTCTCATTACATAGGCCGGGCTGGCCTTGAACTCAAGAGATCCACTTGCCTCTGTCCCCAGTGCTACCACAACAGACTCCTGATCTGGTTTTCTCATAAAAGAAATAATCTACTGTACAGTTCTTTGACTGTATTCTGAAAACTCAACCATCCTTATGATGCTGGGTCAAAGAGAAAAGACACTTAGAAAATTCACTTTAATCTTGTACTTGTAATTTACTCCCCCCCAACAGTTAAAAAACCAAACACACTCTATTACCATGGTCCTAGCTTGTGAACATATTGGTATATTGACTACACATCACCGTAACATAATCACAAAAATGAAAGCACTCAGCACTGGAGAATCTAGGAGACGAAGCGCGAACAACCAAAAGCTCTCTAGCTCACACTGCTGCCAGGCTTGCGGGTCACTACTTTGGGAAAGTATCAGCTTCCTTGGTACCCAGAGGTCTAACCTGTTGTGCTTTTCCTTCAGCATCCAAGGGGAAGGTTTGGTAGGGGAGATAACACACAGTCTCTGTCCCTACACACACTCAGAAGCTAAGTCAGATAGCTGAGTTTGTTGAGAAGTATATATTTGGGGAGTCAGCTGCCTCCAGGAAATGTCAGACCACAGGCACTGGGCTATTTTGTTAAAACAGGGCTGCCAGCATTAGGGGTTTCTGGACAGCAATGCAGTAGATTCCACCTGCAAGTGGGCAGCCACCTGCTGCTTTGGTTTCTCTTCTTAACTTTAAGGAGACTGACATCATATATAAAGCTCAGCTTTATTCCCCTGAGATGGCTGCCTCACTGGTACTAGCCGTGCTCACTGTGGTGAAAAGGGTCATCTGTGTGAGTCCTAGGACTGGCCCCATTGGGAGTCTCTGAGTGCACTTCAAAGTGCTGAATTTAATCAAATAGGGATGGTGATTCGTGTGGACCAAAGTTACACTGTAAACTGATCACCACTGCATGGACTGCAGTCACAGGGACTGGGTACCAGCATGACTCATTCTACCCAGTACTGCACTAATCTAGGTGGACCTGTCTCAGATTCAAGACCAGAAGGTATCACCATCTACTTCAAAAGGGAGATTCCAAGACAATGAACATCACCATGGGCCTCATCATTTTCAGCTTTCTCCGTCTCGTCAAAAGCTAACCACGTAGGTCAAGTTCAGCCTCTCAGATAGAGGCCAGCAAGAGAAGGAGAGAGAGAATGAGTGAGGACAGCCTTCTCCCCGGCTTTGCAGTGCTAAAAATAATTTTTTTCTTACAGAATGATTTAGGAGTCTCAGTGTCATTTCCAGTTCCAAAACAAGCTACGGGGGCCAGACTTTATTACTCGTCAACAGAGTTCCAAACAGTTTCTGTCTCTAAAGTTACGACAAATCTGAAAGAATTTAGCCAAGGGACAAGTGTAAAAGGCTCCCCATCCATAATTCACATCCACTTTCTGACTGCATTTCCAGGGAAGGGATGTACACACACACACACACACACGAGCATCAAGGAATCTTGGCCTTGTCTAGACATCACCAGTGACACAGTGGTCCAGCCTCCAGCAGGGTACCATACACTGAAAGGTAGATTTTAGTAAAAAGAGAGACTGACCATGGGGACAGTCATCTCAGAGCCACAGGACACTTGCAGCTTCTTGTCTACTATTCCTTTAAATGTGTTGAGATGTTCTTTGTTTCTCTTTTCTTTTAAAAAGGTCAAACTTTACATTTATTCTCGCCCAGTTGGGGACTGGTGATAATCAATTCCCACTGAAATCATGCAGAGATGGTAAGTGGGGTTTACCTTCTCTGGAAATGAACTTCTACTTACCTGACTGTTTCTTCTACAATGAACTGGTAAATGACCCCAGAGCTGAGAATCTGAGTGATTCAAGTTTCTCAGACCACTTAACTTCATTCCCATTTCCATCAGCAGCAGAGAGGACAGCCTGGAGAAAGAGTTGAACCCAACTAACAGCGTCAACGCGCAGGGTCCACCCGGGCCTAAGTACAATGGGTGGCCACACTTCTCAAGGGTGTCAGAGCAGCACACCTACAGCTAGACCTCGGAAGGAGAGCGCAGTGCTGGCCTGACGAGTGTGCAGGAGTACCCACATCTCCCTCAAAGCCAGATGTTCTCCTACTCCTACCTTTCAAAGCAGCATATAACTGAAGGGCTAGTCAAGTTATGGCCACTAGACCATTTCTTGAAGCAGCTTAGGTCTCTTAATGTCTGACCTGTTTTTCAGCAAAGTCCTTCACTATTAATAATCAGTGGACAAGGCGCTCAGCGCAGCTAATCAGACGACTCTCTGCAGCATGTGGGTGGTCAGGAAAAGAGAAACAAATACGGAGAGGTATTTCTTAGATGTAACTTGAGATTACAGTTACACAAGAAAAGGAAACGGCACACATGTGACCTGACTCAGCATGTAACGGCATTCGCTCGGGGACACTTTGGGTAAGGGACGAGTTGCAAACCAGAGAATGAAGATGCTCTCTTCTCTCTCTCTTGCCGTAGTGAAGGTGGCCTGGCTAGAGGCCACTTGGGACTGGCCCCCATTTCTATTTTTATAGCAGCTGGTTCAGTTGGCTTTCTTAAATTCAAATGCATGGTTAGGAACAGTGACGAGAGCCTGACTGCTTGGTTTCCAAGGGAAAAGCAAGGCTGTAGTGTGGCCTCAGGCCCAATGGTATGCCTTAACCATCCCTTAGCAGGCAATGCATGCTGGGGGAAAGTGAGTTGGCTCTCAGTTCAAGTTCTCCCAGGCTTACCCATGAGCCTCTGTGTCTGGAGTCTGCTGGCAGAGGCCCAGTGCTGCCTTCCATGTGGCCAGCTTAGCCCTTGAGGAAGTCCAGTCACTTACGTTTTTACTGACTGCCAGAGTTTACTGGCTGGGGAAAGCGGACAGCAAAATAAGGCAGGGAGAGGAAAAGGAAGAGAAGGCTCCTGCTTACTAGTAACCCTGTGTGCCAAGCTTCACCCTGATGCCCTCTGGCAGCCTTGCCTTTCTGCAAATACTGGGTTTGGGGGAAGCAGAAGGAAGGATCTGCCGTGCAAGGTTGAGGCAGTTAGACTGACAGATATTTACTGGCCTAAATGGAGAACCAGCTTTCTCCTGACCATCTCTTAAGCTGCTGTGCTCACAGTCTGGGCAGTTATGGGTGCCTGGGTGCTTTCCGGCTCGGTCAAGGAAACAGATGTGAGCCACGGTACAGAGTGCAGTGGTGCCTGGCGCTGGCCACTCCAAGCCTTTCTGCAGGCCTTGCCAGTGATTTAAGATGAAGCACAATGCTTTTTATTACACATCTAATTGTTAATGAGAGGAAATGCAATCAGCAGCTCCTTTCCACTCTACATGGAACCGAGGAGACTGCTGAGTCCAGAGCAAACACAACCACTGATGGCGCCCAGGACATTCCTGTCCCTCCCCCTGGGCACAGGGAAGGAGAGAGAAAGCTGCAAATATGGCGAGTGTCATGTTCATGAATCCACCGCTGCCCCGGGGTCACTTGCAGCAAAAGCCTGGAAATTAGGATACTCAAACTCTTCCAAGTGTCCCATTTTCTGGGTGATCCGCCTCGTGCTAGATGAGGACACGGCACATGCCTTCTCAGGTTGAAGATGGAGAGGAGGAAGGGGGACAGAACCCAGGTGGGGGAGGAGGCAGCAGGTGCAGATCTTCCAGTGTGTGTCCCTCTCTCTCCTCTAAGGATGTGCAGGCAGCTGTCTCCTCCCACGCAGTGGCCTGGACTGCTCCGGCCAGGTGCTGAACAGGGAGAGGACAGGCATTCTTTGCCTGGAAGCTGCAGCCCCTGTCCCCTAGAAGTGAGCCATATGGGGAAACTAGTTCTTCTGCTTAATGGCAAAGGAAGAGAGATTCTGGCAAAACACTAAATATATTTATAAGTCATCTTTGTCTGGAACCCAATGGGAGAGAAACAGGTGCAGAGGGGAAGGGGAGGGAACAGGAAGGGAGGCTTAAAAGTTCCAATCATTCACACAAGATAAAGACATCTTCTGATAGCAGCACTGAAGCAGCCGGGTGTGCCGAGCAGACCATCCTGGTCAGCTGCTGACCGACTGTGTCCCAACAGGAGTCTCAAAGCCCTGCTCCTCGCTGATCCATCCGGGGAATCCGGGTAGGAGTGTGATTGTTGTTGTTCACCCTGGTCTTGGCAGATATGTTAAATACTGCGACATTAACGAGTCCTGTGTGGAAACACAGCCAACAGTCATTAGCCCCTTTCCTTGTACTTTCCACTTGCTCTAAGACAAAAAGAACGTTCATGTGGCTGGCAATGAGAAAGGCTTGGGGATCCATCCCCAGGGCTGCTCCCTGCCCACAAAGTGCTTCTGTCCCAGTCTCCTTGGGGACTTACACAGAGGACAGGGTTAGCGCTGTGCAGAGGCACTAGAACATCCTGAGATTAAGAGGGAACAATGGCGGGATGGTGCATGCTTTCCCCTGCTCCCTGCAACAACAGAGCAGGCAGGGACGGCTCTGTGGGCTCTGCCTGACGGTCCTGGAGCGCAGTGCTATCTCTCTAAGAAGTATGTATGGCGGAAAGCTGGCTGGGGTATGGAGACACTAAAGGTGCTCCTGGTCTCTTCAAGGACAGATGTGTAGGTGGAGGCTGGAAATATGGCCTGGAGATTAAGGCAGGGGCGACATTGGAGATACAGATTTGCTAGTCATCTATGTTGAAGTGAGAGCTAAAGTCATGGGAAAGGGTAAGGCTGTCCAAGAAGAGACCTTAGATGAGTCAAAAAGACAGAACCAGATTCTCAGGGGATGTCTGCTTCACCAGTGTGAGGAGAGAGATGTAAGCAAAGTGAGGGAGAATAGGAACAGCGAGGGTTAGGCGCACATTTCCACGGTTAAACACTTAACATGAGGCAGGCCAGGCACTCAATACCCAGGAGCCCCCACCCAATAACAAAATACTATTCCATTGGAAAACACCGAACATTGGCGAAAGGGCAGACAAGGCACACTGTAACCACGGTTATCTCCATGCAGACCTATGAGGCAGATTCTGTACTCATTTCACTCATCAGGATATGACAGTCTGTGAATTTACACGCCCACGAGCACACAGCCAGTGTGACTTAGCCGAAGAATGATGAACCAACTATGCTCCCTCCAACAGCAGAGACATGAGGGGAGCCCCCAGAGACATACTCCTTCCCTCAGGAAGACTGACGGGCGCAGGAGTGCAGTGAGAGGCATGTCTGCTCTAACAACCAAGGCGACTGTGACACACAGAAAGGCACACAGGCAACACTCCCCAAGCTGGCGCTCTTCCTAGGACTCAATAACCCAACACATCCGACCCCGTGATGGCACCGGAAGCCAACTGTGGATGTGCTCATAGACAATACCGGGCATTTTAGGTTTTGCCCTGCCTTAGAGAGCTGCTAGAGATTTGGGAAGGATACCAACTTCCTGTTACTGCTGGAAATGAACAAACCAACCAACCACGGAAAATCTCCTGTGGATGGAGTAGAGACTGTAGACAAAAAAGGCAGAAATGAGAATGTCAGACATTTCTGGTCACGTGTCGGATGAGCTGCTAGACTGGAAGGCCTCCCTGATCTAGGACCTATACAATGACAGACTTTTGGGCCATTGATTTTCCAACTGGTTCAAATGACATTGTACTTTCATAAAAACTGTACTGAAGGAACTACTGGTACTCCTACACAAGAATTCTGGAGTCCTCTAGAACTGGAACTTGCTAGCTTCTACCATGGAAGTTCCTGCTTCAGTCCATGCCTCCTGCTGTCTAGGGCTTGGTGAGACAAGGAACGGAGAGGGAGAAACTCCCAGGAGCTAGCAGCACCTTACAGCCAACACTCCACCTCCTACAGGTGTACAAGCTCTTTTCATACCCGGGCAAGTGTGAGGTCAGTGTTGGGTTATTTATCTGGAGATGTAGGTGTATGTCCGAGAAGGGGAGCGGGGTGGTTCAGCATGAGCAGCCGGATCATTTAGGAAGTCCCAGATGAGGATTGTATCATCATGCGAACTACTGACAATCTGGAATTCATCAAACTGGAGTCGGAAAACTCTTCCAGAATGCTCCTAAGGAAGCAGAAACAAAAGTATGATTTTGACCCCAAATCACAAGCATCACGTCTAAAGGAGCCTACAAAGGCTATGGTGTGCTCAGTCATTGTTTCAAACACAGACAGGAAGCAGTTTCACTAATGTTAGGATGGAATACTCAAATACCTGGCAATAACTGGTCTCGGGAACACAGTAAACAAGCAGTATTACGTAGGCAAAATGGCAAAGAAGATACTGACTTGTGACTATCAACTGGGGTTAGGCAAGAGGAGAGGAGAGTATTCTTGGTACCTCTCTGGCCTATCATCTCCTGCAAGCTCCTCTGACCATCAGATGTCAAGGTGTGGACAGCAGGTGTTGGTAAATTGTGTGCCAACTAAACTTCTTGAGGCTGGAGACATGGCTCAACAGTTAAGAATGCTGGTTGCTCTTCCAAAGGACCCAGGTTCAATTCCCAACACCCACATGGAACTAACAATCATCTATAACTACAATTCTAGAGGGATTTGACACCCTCTGGTCTCTGAGGGCATTGCACTGTACAGATACACATGCAGGCAAAACATCGATGGACATAAAATAAAAACATAAACCATTTACAGATTTTCATGATGCACCAAGTCCAACCATGACCAATTTGAAGCTATCCACATTCAGTCAACAATTTGCAAAATTCTAATGGCTGGCTTTCATGAGGCCAGGAGCCTAGTCTAGTGCATCAGGGTAGTGAGCACTGCCTACATCAGGCATGGCTACTTTTCCTGGAAAGTGCTTTCGACATTGTTACTAGTCAGTCTCACCTGCACTCCTGTGCTATTACTGATTTTTACTTATTCTTAAATTTCATATAACACACACACACATTTATTTATTTGTGCCCAGCTTATTTTAGTCAACATTCTTTGTTTGTTGGTTTGACTCTCAAGACAGATTTCTCTGTGTAACTGACCTGGCTGGCCTTGAACTCACAGAGATCTGCTTGCCTCTGCTTCCCAGCGTTGGAATTAAAGGTGTGTACCATCACCGTCCAGTTATGTTCTTTTTTTTTAATACCTATTTTTCTTTTTTTTAATGATTAATTTATTTTTATTTTACATGTATTGGTGTTTTGCTTGCATATGTCTGTGTGAGGTGTCAGCTCCCGGAACTGGAGCTACAGACAGTTGTGAGTTGCCATGTGGGTGCTGGGAATTGAACCTAGGTCCTTTGGAAGAGCTGTCAGTGCTCTTAGTCGCTGAGCCATTTCTCCAGCCCCCAAGCTGAATACTCTTATGTTGTTACTGTTTTTTGTTTTGGTAAACAAGTCTTGCTATACAGTCCTAGCCGGTCTTGAATTCAAGATCCTTCTTCTTTAGGCCTGAGTTCTGGTTATAAGCACTCACCACCATTCCCTATTTGACAAGTTCGATTTTTCTTTTTAAAGACAGGATCTCTATATATAGTCAGGTCAGAAACTCACAATCTTCTTGCCTCATTTATCTATCTATCCATTTATTTAATTTTTTTGAGACAGGGTTTCTCTATGTAGCCCTGGAAGTCCTGGAACTCACTATGTAGACCAGGCTGGCCTCAAACTCACAGAGATCCTCCTGCCTTTGCCTCCCTGATGGGATTAAAGGTGTGCGCCACCACTCCTCTTGCCTCACCTTTAAGGCCTGTGATTACAGACTCGTGCACAGAGTACCCACCTGAAGACATGTATGAAGAGAGCAGGCGAAGCTCATGTGATACTCAAAGAATGCATCCAATCTTAGGTTTTTGGGTCTAAGGGACAGGGTCTCAATCTGTAGTTCAGGCCTTTCAGGAACACATGGCAATTCTCCTGTCTCAGCCTCTAAATGCTGAGCTACATGTGTATGCCACCATACACAATTTAAGAAAGTGCTTTAAACCCAAGAAAGACAAAGTTTTCCTTCTTTTACTCTGGATCCACACACATCTAGCTAAAGCAACATTTGTCAGTCTGAGCCTATGGCTTATAATGTGACAAAAAACTTCATGCTGTGGTGGGCACAGGCCTGTGGTCCCAGTACTAGGGAAATGGGAGCAGAAGGAGCACAGTTCAGTCCAGCCAGGGCCACATGAGGCCCCGCTACAAAGCATTTGAAGGTGTCATTTCTCCTCCTAACTCACTTCTCTCGCCAAGTGTCAAGATGCTCAAGCATAGGGTGGACAGGGGCTAACGGTGCTAGGATTGGAGGCACTGCCTAGTGAATGAGATGCAGAACTAAGGAGCTGACCAGGGGCCCAGAGAGTCCCAGAGTACTTTTTTTTTTTTTCAAGTACAGGTGTTCAGGTCCTTAGATTCTGGACAGGTTCCAATTTGCGTAATTATATTCTCTCTCCCTCAGTACCGCCTGCTGCTTCTGGTGGATACAGAATTCTTATTCACTTCCTGCACTACATGTGGGAGAGGTACCGTGCAGCTGTTAAGCAGCTGCCACAGTCCTCTCCATATACAGTCTCTAAAGCACTTTGGGATGAAAGGCACTATATAAACATATTTTATTGTCATGTATTGGTTGCTTTTCCACTTTGTAGGTTTTGTGAGAATCTAACTATAAAATCCAGATCTATATTCTACAGCACATTAACATTTAATTTCTTCCCCTACCTGCTCTTCAGCCCCCTTTAACAATAAGGCTCTTACCACAAGCGTCCGTAGACAAAGAGTCCCTGCAGGAGCACGGGGGTCCAAAGCAGCCATAAGATCCCATACTTTAATTTTTCTGAAGATCAAAAGGGGGACAAAAGTCTTAGTTAAAAGCAAACGTAAGGGAACACAAGGAAGAACAGAACAAAACCAGGGCAATAAGAATGGGTAGCAAATGTAGCTCCCAGGAATCGGAGGACGTCTGGGTCTGGGTCTGGGCTCTCACATCCTCTCTTAGAACATCCACTCTACATGCCTGGCCTGTGATGCTGGATTTGTCTGGTTCTTCGCTTTATAAGGCAAACCAGACAAATACAGAATCTAATAGCCAAAATAATGATCAATACAAATACAATTAATGACTAGAAAGAATGTTTTAGGAAGCAGTAAGCAAGAGAGAGAGAGGTGAATACCAATTAAGCAATGGTATAATTTAACTTTAGAGCCATAAACTGGGAAGGACAAAGACACAGACTCTGGGGAAGGGAGGTGTTAGGGATTGAGCCCAGCCCTGCACATGCTAAGCGCATGCTCTGCTACTAAGCTACAGCCTGAGCTCTTAACATTTATCTGTCTTGTCACATGGTAGTGGACTCACCCATCGTAGGCCCCGCTCACTATCCTTTTGTTATCGAATCGGATGCAGCGCACCAGCTCTTCATGGCCTTCTAACACGCGCAGGCACGCACCGCATTCTATGTCCCACAATCTGAAAGGAAAACTGAGTCAAGTAACTACACGGCTTCATTTCTAAGTCTTGAATATTACAATATATTTCACACATCCGTTGAGCATTCACAGAGGGGGCTGAAAGAATGCTGAGCGGTTAGGAGCTCTGGTTCCCAGCACCTACAGGTGGTTCATCACCTTCCACAGCTCTAGTCCCAGAGGACCCAGGACTCTTCTGACCAACTTGGGTGTGAGTCACACATGGGTGTGAATCAACACAGTCAGACACATAAAATAAAAATGTCACTCATATAAAAGCATATTACTTTCAATATAACATTTTCTATCTGTCATATAATTTGGGCAGAAAAAGTGTGATTTAAGTCCAAATGCTGTAAATATTTTCAAAACGCAATGCTTTACGCAACTCTGAAACCAGGTTCTCCCAGCGGGGATTCAACGTGCAGTCCCTAGAAAGGGAGAGTAATTCTTCCAGAAGTCACCCCTAAGAGTGAGAAACACTGTGTCACTGAGACCCCACTCTCACAAAGTCGCTCCCTCTCTGCTGGAGGACACTGCCTCAGTGCTCTGCAGGGCAATCACCAGCGACAGAGGAGCAAAGCCAGACCTCGAGGAGTCGGCGGCAATAGTTTTAATGCTTTCAGCCCAATTCCATTGATTTCCAGGAGTGGCAGGTTTGATATGCATCAGGCCTAGCTCTTTCTTCCCTCAGGCACTGAAGGAAAGAAGTTGACAGATAAAATTTCCAAATTATTACCACCTCTCTGTCATTCATCTTTGTAAGGACAAAAATACAAACAGTACAGATTTGTAGAACCTTCAAATTTACAGACAGCTCTCTGGTCAACTATTGTACTGAAGTGAAAAGTCATGATTTCTAGCAAAGAAACAATCTTTTTTTCCCTCCTTTTTCTTTATGTTTTCAACAACAGAGACATGGAGAAATGGCCTTTATTAGCATTTTTCAGCTACAGAAAAAAATTTTGTTTGTCCCCCCCCCCCCCACAGGGTTTCTCTGTGACTTTGGAGCCTGTCCTGGAACTAGCTCTTTAGACCAGACTGGCCTCGAACTCACAGAGATCCGCCTGCTTCTGCCTCCCAAGTGCTGGGATTAAAGGCGTGCACCACCACCGCCCGGAAATTTAAAAGAATTTTAAAAGAAGGGCCCTTAACCTTCATTAGCTGTCTTAAGTTTCTTATTTAAGCAGTTCCCCTGAAATAGGTCTATTTGGTGAAGGAAACACACCAACAAAAAGCTTTTCTGTGCTGTCTCTCTGGGAGGGCACGCTTTAGACCTGTAAGAAGCTACACAAAGGAAACATATTTGATTGGACCTAGAGGAGAGGAGAGGTGTGTGTGGGGGAACTGGGAGGAGTGAATGGATATATGAAAATAGAATAAAAAAAATCAAAATCAAAACCAAACCAAACAAAGTTAGGTGGTGGTGTTCCACATCTATAATCCCAGCACTCAGGAAACAGGACAGGTGGACTCTGTGAACTAGAGGCCAGTTCTGGGACAGCCAGACTACACAGAGAAACTGTCTCGAAACCCAGACAACAACAACAAACCACAACAGACAGACAGTTAAAGACCATGAGATCTGTGCACAAATGGTGCCTGGAAGGGTGATGGGCTCCACTCTGGGAAAGGACACCTGCTGCTCACCTGATGGTGTTGTCAGACGAGCCACTCACCACCAGCCTGTCTCTGTACTGCAAACAGGCGATTCCTCGTTTGTGTCCATTGAGGGTCCTTACAAATTCACAAGTACTTGTGTTCCATACCTGAGAGAGAAAAATGACAACTGAGCAGTTGATCGGTACACGTCTGCCAGTAAAAATGGACTACTGGGTAAGGAGAAAACAGAAGTGAGTCATCAGAGAATGCCAATGTCTCAAAGAACAGCGATGTAAATCAGAGTCGAGTTTAGTTCGTGGTAACAGGGGACTAATGTGAAGCTGGCTGCTTCTTACGTCTTCCTCGTACAACACTCCTTTCCACCCGATTTTTCAGAGATATATTTATCATTTTTATGTGCATGTGTGTCTACTTGGGTTTGTATGCACTACGTGTGTGCAGGAGCCCACAGACGCCTGAAGAGGGTGTCAGGGCCCCAGGAACTGCAGTTCCAGGTGGTTTTAAGCCACTATTTGCATGCTGACCACTAAACCTGAGTCCTTTGTGAAAGCAGGCAGTCCTCTGTCTTAACACACCGAGTCACCTCTTCAGCTCCTCCAACTCACTCTCCGAGACAAGTCTTGAAACACGAAGTTTCCTGCTTTGGAGAACGGCTGGCCAGTGAGCACCAGGGATCTACCATCTTTGCCCTCATGCCCATCACTGAGATCACAAACTTAGGCTGCCACATCTGGCATTTACATGGCTGCTAGGAATCTGAACTCAGTCCTTAATGCTTGTGCGACAAGGACTTCATCAGCCTGGCCATTTTCTCAGCTCCAGTATGTTTATTTTCTTGATCTTAAACTTACACCTGCTCTTCTCACACTCGTAATAACTGTTACTATCTTTCTAAGCTGGGTCTTGGGCATACCAGTCAAGCTACCACTAAGTTACATCTCCAGCCCATTACTGTTATTTATAGAAATAAAAATTGAATTAAACATTACATTATTCTACCATAATGCTTATGTATACAGTTGTCTTCGATCACACTTTTACACCAACTCCTTATTACACCTTGTGAACACACTGAAAAGTGGCCCATTACCTTTATGGTTCTATCCCCAGATGCGGAAACGATGTACTTGTCATCAAAGTCTACAACATTGACTGCAGCTCGGTGTCCCACCAGCACCCTCCTTAGGGTGATGTCAGTTGGGGAGGCCATATCCCATACAGCAATGGAACGATCTTTGGAGCATGTTACCATCATGCCATTATTGAAGCGCAAGTGCAGAACTGCCTCACAATGGTGAATCAATGTGTTTAGCATCTCACCTGCATTTACGTCCCACACTCTGAAAAGGATAACGGAGAATTAGATGGTACTTAGGCTTCAGTGCAGTGCCTTTTCTTGACTATGGAGCTTACCATCAATGCCTGTTCTCTCAAACACCCACTTTCTTTTTAAAATAGGGTTTCTCTGTAGTTGACCAGGCTGTCCTTGAATTCAAAGATCCACCTGCCTCCTAAGAAGAGACTAAGAGACCATAATGCTCGGCTCACTCCCACTTTTTTTTTTTTTTTTTTTTTTGAGACAGGGTTTCGCTGTCGCTTTGGAGCCTGTCCTGGAACTAGCTCTTGTAGATCAGGCTGGCCTTGAACTCACAAAGATCCGCCTGTCTCTGCCTCCCGAGTGCTGGGACCAAAGGTGTGCGCCACCACTGCCTGGCCCACCCCCACTTTTTAAAAAATTTATTATGTATATAGTGTTCTGCCAGAAGGAGGCACCACATCTCATTACAGATGGTTGTGAGCCCCATGTGGTTTCTGGGAATTGAAATTAGGACCTCTGGAAGAGTAGCCAGTGCTCTTAACCTCTGAGCCATCTCTCCAGCTCCTCACCCCCCACTTCTATGGCAACTGTTGTGCTCTTCCTTTGTAGCCCCAAGGCAGGGTATGAATGAACCATGAGGAAGCAGTGTAGACAAAGAGAAAAGGCAGGAAGTAGGTGTTTCCTAGGTAAAACCTTAAGATGGGAAATCTGGCCAAGCTATAGTGCTCAAGGATGAGGAAGTAGTCATTATCACCGGATAATCTGTCACAGATTTTCGGATTACTATCCTAGTATTATTCTATTAAGAACACACATGTAAACCAGGAAAAAGAATAGCAATAGGGAGAACCAAGAGTGGGTCTGTGCCTGTGTTACACCCAAGCCCACATGGATGCCTGTGGTTGGGGCTGCCACCTGAAGCCATGTTAATGTTTGTGGGCATGGGAAAGCTGGCCCTGCCCCTTGCTGCTGTGCCAAGTTGGCATCATGGAAGAGCTAGCTCCATCCTGCTCTGGGCACCACATGCTCTCCTCAGAAGATGGCTTCTGGTAGATGCAGGTGGAGAAAGACCCATTCTCCCTGGACAGTTGCCCACTAGGTATTTGACTATGCTCCACTAAATATGTGGACAACACAAAATGGAATTTTGGGGGTGGGGGTCATGGGAAGACAGGGATGTTGTAGGAGGCTGCTTGTTCGTTTCCAGGCTGCCCGGACTCCCAAAATAATCACGCAGAAACTGTATTAATTAAATCATTGCTTGGCCCATTAGCTCTAGCTTCTTAAAGGTTAACTCTTACATATTAATTTAACCTATTTTTATTAATCTGTGTATTGCCATGTAGCCGTGGCTTACTGGGTAAAGTTCTGGCATCTGTCTCTGGCAGGGCTACATGGCTTCTATTCATTTCGCAGCCTCTCTTCCTCCCAGCATTCAGTTTAGTTTTCCCCACCTACCTCTGTTCTGCCCTGTTTTGCTATTGGCTCAAAGCAGTTTCTTTATTTACCAATTGTATTCACAGCATACAGAGGGGAATTCCACATCACAGGGAGGTAAGCATGATTTGGGCATATGATGTGAGATTCCCAAATAATCAACAAAAATGATTAAAAAAAAAAAGAGGGCTGGAGAGGTGGCTTAGAGGTTAAAAGCACTGTCTGCTCTTCCAGAGGTCTTGAGTTCAATACCCAGTAACCACATGGTGGCTCACAACCATCTGTAATGAGTACTGATGCCATCTTCTGGGCTGAAGGTGTACATGCAGGCAGAACACTGTGTACGTAATAAATCTTTTTTTTTAATAGAAAATTAAATATTTATTGTCGATAACGTTACACAGAGCACTCTTTAATAAAACAGAAATAATTATGTTCTTTTTTTTTTTTTTTTTAAAAAAAAGAACAGCAGTAGGACCTGTGCCAGTGACTGCCCACAGAAACCATGGCCACGATGTTTTTCCGCAGACTTAGTAATGTAGACTTGAGTTTGACTTCCCTGAATGTTATATTCTAAGTTCAAGGTTCCATTTTTGTGCTTTTCAGGGCAAGAGGTCAACAAGAGTCCTCCCTCCTACTCCAAGTACTTTTTTCATAGCAGTGGGGACCCTTGGATAGCTTGAGAACAGTGTCATGATGGAAATACTTTGACTACTCTATTTTTGCACATCGATTTTGGTTTTTAAAACATTTTATTGCTGCCCTTTTCAGTTGAGCCCTCCTTTGGGAAAGCCATGTTGTTCTGCAGTGTTGCTAAGAGGTAAGCCCCAGGTTCAGTCCCAACATCGCCCAAACTAGCAAACAAAACATCATCTCTCCCCTATGCTCCGGCCCCTGTAAGGCACTCCACAGCACGGATAAAGTTAGTTGACAACAACTGCAAGGAGCGGCCTGCTGTGCCTAGCAGTCAAAGGAGCAGCCTTTCCTACTTGCAGGGAATAACTTTAGAGAATTTAACAATGTAGTTAACTGCCTTTTATTCTAGCTTTTGAAAAGTTACTTTTGATGTATCATGTTTGCTAAATTCTTTAGCTTCAGGTGAAATTCCTAGCAGGTTTTCAGCAGTGAGGCTGGTACCCTGAACTCAAGCTACACTGGACCCCAGCAGCATAATGGCTGCGCCATCAAATCACCAGTGCCTCTGGAAATTGAGAACCCCTCCCTGAGTGGAACCTGCAATTAAACACTGTGGGGACGGCAGGGGAGGGGCTGGCAAGGAACGAGCCCTGCTTACCTGTACACACTTGAAGGGCTCATGCACGCCCGCACTGCAGTTACAATCTCCCTTCCTGCACTCCCGTGAGGTGCTTTCCCATAAAGAGAGGGAAAGTTCCTATGCCAGGTGCTTCTCTAAATTAAAACCTGTGTGTAGCTTCTTAAACATGCCAAAGTAGAAATCTACCCAATGGTTCCAAAATCAAGGGTCTGGCTCTAGAGTGACAAGTGACCAACCAGAAGCTAACTCTAAGACCTGACACCTTCACACAGACATACATATTTATTCACATTAAATAATAACTTTTAAAGACAAGGGAATTACTGTGACAGAAAGAGTGTTTCAGAGCCTGAGATTTCCTACCTGACAGTGGAATCCGATGATCCAGTTATGATCACTCTCTCATCATACTGGAGACACAGGACGGAGCCTGTGTGGCCTGTGAGGATTCGCTTGCATTCCAATGTGTTTTTATCCCAGATCTAGGAGGGCAATGGATCACTGTCACAATGGGGTGCTGTGGAGACTTGCTGCTCTGTACATGTAGGACCCCCAAATGGCAAGGCAGAGGGGGTGAGACTGCATTCTTTCCTCCAGGTAGAGCCGACACCTGGATGTGCTGACTTCAGTCTAATGCTAACTTTATCCTTTCATTAAAGTGGAAGAGTAGCCTATAATTAGGAAGGCCAAAATAACAGCTTCCATCAGCGCACTTCTAGAAGGGAGTTCAACCCTGGAACTATCCATTTGTATGATTCTCTGGGGAGAAGCAAACACTTGCCCTTTAAGGAAATTGGTTTTGGTACTAGAACCAATCTAAAGTTCTCACTTCCTAGCAACAACACTTAGGACTTACGCTTTAGGTTGCTTTATGAACACAGTCACCCTTGCTCCCACAGCTATGTTCCTCAGCTGAAGAGACCTCACCTTGATCGTGTTGTCTCGAAGGCCGCTTACTATTTTCTGGTCATCATATTGTAAACAGTAAACTCCTTTGCTTGTTTCACTGCGACAGTGGATTCTCTGTAAACTATGTCGTCCACATCTCCAGTTTGATTCTATTGTCTGAAAAGGAGAATTTGAAGAAGCAGTTAATTAGGAAAGAACTCAAACCAATGGCTCTATGGCAGCGGGTCTCAACATGTGGGGTGTGACTCACACTACCATTTCACGGGGGTTGCCTACGATCACTGGAAAACACGAGTATTTACACTACAATTCATAACAATAGCAAAATTACAGTTGTGAAATAATGAGAATAATTTTGTGTTTGGGGGTCACACAGCATAAGAAGCTGTTTTAAAGGGCGGCAGCATGAGGAAGGGTGAGAGCCACGCTCTGTGGGATGCACACGTATAAAAGCTATGTAAAGCTGCATGCTCAGTGCTCCTCTTAGATGCGCAGCATCAGTGCCTACTGATAACTTTTCACGGAAGCTCGTCAGCTTACGAGTTCTAGGTCTCCCTGGTGTTTTAGGAAGTGGTAATCCCCTCTTGCACTCTCATCTGTCGGTAAACAAAGGTTTTAAAGCTACACAAAAATCGACTGGGAGTCTTCTGTACTTTACCAACCTTATTCATTGGGAAAAGACACTGATTTTTAACCCACACCGAACATCTTAATGGGTTTCCTGTACTTGTAAGCTAAACATACTAATGATCCCCAGCACTCAGCATACATCCAGAAATACATCAATTCTTACCTCAATATCTTGTATAATTTTAGGATAAAGTGCTCTATAAAAGGAGTTGGGAGGAGCATTCTCATCAGGAGGTTTGTTTTTGAATAGGTACTGTCCCCTAAAAAACAAATATTTACCAATGAAGATCATAAATCCATTTAGAAGAAGCTTTGTAGTTCTTCAAAGTGTTTCAGTTACTATTCCACATACTAGTCAGCGACTAGCCAGCAAGGCATGATGGTAAGGCGATTTTAGGAGTCCCGTGTCAAAAGTGTTAACCTCCTGGTATCTAAGGAGCCTGATCAACATTAATTCCAGTACAGAACATCAGAGTACCAACCCCTTTGGGATGCTGATAAACGTATACTCAGATAAACGTATACCCATCTACTGGTTGATTAGGCTTCTGTATATTTAGTGATTTTATCATTTGATAATAATGGTAATTCCTCTGGTTAATAATCATAACTATTACTTTTCTCCCTTGGCTCTGGGGCTGGAGCCCCGAGCTGTGTGCACATTGCTAGGTAAGTCATTTGCTGCTCTACCACAGGCCCCTGAGCCAGTTTGTGCCAGTGTCAGAGGAAGCCTAGCATGCTGGTAACAGCTACATCTCTGCTATGGAGCTCGAGCCTCTAGTGACTTATCACACGGGGTAGGTATGCTAGCTCAGTCACTGGGCTATCCTGACCACGTGGCAGTCCTCAGTTCATAGAGCAAACAAAGGGACTGCACGAGTGCCCAGCAGCAGGCAGGAAATGGGTGAGGAGACATGCTCAGCATGCCATGCTATCATGTGGGAGGTAGGAGGCTAGCTTTCACAGGTGTGTTTCTGTGTGCACAGGCAGACGTAGTTCCTCATTTCCTTGACTCCACAAGCAGCATTTGCTAGCATCTCTTTCCTTTTAACAGCGTATCTCCAAACACTCATATCACAAGTTAGAGTGCTCCCTACCCCCTTACCCCCCAAAAAAGGTAAACGGCAATCACTTCCTGCTGGGCAAAAAATTTAATTCCTCATCCTGAAGTTAAGAACCCACCAAACACGGTGTGTAAGCTAGTAAAGCCCACTATGGGTGTGCTAACTGCTGTTCTCACTGGCACCGTGCCTTGCAAAGTGGAGACAGGCAGAAATGCCTCTGAGTGTAATCTTGGCACCAGAGAAATCATGTCTTCTCTGGGCCAGTCATCCACTTGTGCCTCTATAGCACCATTACAATATAATTAATTGTTTCATGTCTTCAGGAGAGCTTCTCCCCTGCCCTCTCCCTATTAGACACCTTGAAAATTAGTTGAGGAAATTTCCTATCAGGAAGGCAGCTGGGTCTGCTGTCTATCTTAATACAGAAAAGAAAATCTGCAATGGAGAAGTGAAAAGAGCAGTTTTTTTTTTTTTAAAGAAGGACTATGAAATCTGATACACCAACATAAAGGGTGAGTAAGCTACTTTGAGAAATAATTCTGGTTTAGTGGTATCCTTCTGAACAGTTTGGTTATGTAAACACTTGGATGCAGATGAGATTTTTAACTGTTGTTTTTCAATGCCCACCATTCCTGAGATTCTTGTCTTCCTTTGAGTCTTTGTCGTTCCTATAAGGTATTGCAAGATTTTCTTCACATTCAATGTATTTTCTCTATATTCTTAGGAAATTGGATTCAAATGAATCTCTAATCTCGTTTTCTATCCCACTGTCTTTACCATGCCTTTACAAATGTATATTAATTTCTCCAATCAAAGATGCTACAAAGAAGTGGCTAGATATTGAGAACTGGCTTCCAGTCTGTATCTATTTTAAGTCAAAATCTTTTAAGGTGTATGTTCTTTGACAACAGGGACCACTTCTATGCAAATTGTCTGGTACCTGTGAGAATGTAAATGCATGATAAATGTGAAATATTAAATTTAGAATGTTATCATAAAATGTGATCTCCTGATTAAGAAAATGGACTTTTCCCCAGTGGTCCTTTATCATACTTTTAAGAGTTACCATTACTGAGCAGAGAGTATTACTTAGTGTTATTTAAGAGAGAAAACTGCAAAGTTCATGTCCTAGGGGCAAACTGTCAAATCTATCTAGGTATGAAATATAACAGCAAAGTGGAAGTTAAATCTTGGTGATTCAATCATTCTAGGAAGAACATTTATTTGTATACTTTTGAAAAGAAATTGGAGGCACTTTCAAAGACACTTGTCTGGGGAAAGGAACAACATGAACAGGCTTTAACACAGAGGGCTTGGTAAGAATAACTTCAAAAACGGATAATGAGCTGGGCTTTAATCCTAGCACTCAGGAGGCAGAGGCAAGAGGGTCTTTGTGAGTTTGAGGTCAGCCTGGTCTACAGAGTGAGTTCCAGGACAGCCAGGGCTATAAAGAAATATCTTAAAAAAAAGGAAAGAATGGAAGGAAGGAAATGAGAAATTGTTCATAAATTATTTCGTCTGAAGAAGGGAGAATTTGGCATATTCTTGTAATCCCGGCACTCAGAAGGCTGAAGCCTCAACACCACGACCACCAAACACAAAGACAATAAACAGAAAGGGAGACACTGTAACTGTCACCCAAAGACACTGAACAGACATCACAGATCACACAAGTATTTGTGTTTGCCACTTCATGGGACTATAACAAGTTATATCAAATTCTATCAGTGTGATCAAAGACAAGGGAATCTGTCATGAAGCTGAACAACCTGAAAAGACTGTGGGGGCGGGGGACGTTCTGAGGTTGAAGGGAAGGAAACAGTGGCTCTAACTGCATGAAGACATCGCTCTTCAAGGACCCCTTTAAAAGGCTAAAAAGTGGACTGGGATTTAACTTATTGGTAGAATACTTGCCTAATATGTATAAAATCCTCAGTTTGATTCCAGGTACCACAAAAACTATTTAATAAAAAAATAAAGGATAAAATCCTATCTTTTCAATGATGGTTTTTGTCTTTATAACCAACATAAAAGACCCCACTGTTTAGGATTAACCCTAAACAGAAGTCTGCTTTTGCGTTTGAATTTATACATCTCAGAAGCCCCACTCCTTGTTCTCCCTGCCTTCAAAACACGCCACTGTTTACGAGGAAGCCTACTGTCATTTACAGCACAGATGGAAACAAGTGTATTTTAATGGCGCATGAAATCTTTTTAGCTTAGCTAAGAAGTGAGTTTTTAAAACTGTTATTTAAGGCCTGAATCTGGAAGAGAGTTTCTTTGCTTTCCTGAGAGATAGAGAAATCTTCTCAGACATCCTAAAATTCCCACAAGTAAGCAACTGTGTGCTCCATTTCTAAAGCTGATGGACTCTGAACAACATGCATGCTAACTATCAGAGTATAAAGTCAGTAAGTAAAGGCAATCTCTACTTTTCTACATTGTAAGGAAGGATAGGAAAAACACCTGAGAGGAAAACAAGAGGAAAAAACCCCCAATAAGTTCTGGTTTATAGTCATATCACAAGAAGATTGATAGCATTTGGATCCCTGACCTGGGATTTAAGAGTAAAGGTTTTTAAGCTTTCCTAATAGCTCAAATGACAGAAACCTCTGAAACTCTTGTCGTACCACTCAGAGGTCAACATATTCATGGATATGGATTCCAAGAATACAAAAGCAAGAGAGTCCAGTGTAATTTTATGAAAATTCTAAGGAAAGTTGATCTGTGATTATTTATCAGTCTCTTTCCTGCCTCAACTCCCTTCCTCGCTGGGATTACAGGTATGGACCACCAAAAAAAGATTTGTTTTTTGTTTGTAGTGCTGAGGACCGAACCCAAAGCCTTGTATATACAATGTGGGAACCTGCAGCCCTTGACCGGTTTTAAACTTATTTGACACAGGGTCATGCTACAGAGTTAGGGGTCCCACACTTGCCAGCCTCCTTCCTTCTACTACCACACCTGTCTTTCCTTTACTAATCCTAACTATTGGAGGTTGTATATGACTATAGGCAAAAAAGACCCCCTCCCCCAAGTTAATTTCAAAGACAATCATAGGACACACATGTCTATCATCATTTTTAAATCAAATATACTTAATAACTTACTTAATGATTTATTCATACCTGACAGTCTTATAGTGACATTCTAGGGACACACTCTGAGACAAAACTCTAAAAAGGAAAATATCTTCAAGAAGTTTTAATGAAATAGTGCCATAGAGAACACCACCACTGGTGAAGGCTGCTGACTACGTGAGGCCTTAGGGAAGTCACAATTAAACACACAAATCTAAAGAAATATACAAGTTTTAAGAAGAAACATGATTTATACTAAATTCTATTTTTTCTTCTTGGTAGCTATAGTTTTATTTTACTTGGGCATAAAAATTAATTTTTGATTATAAAGGTAACGAGACACTGGAAGTGGGGACTAAATAGAGGAAGCCTACTGAGGGAGAATAATTCTGTTTTCCCCAGAAGAGGAAGAAGCAGGCGTGGATCCTTTCTACCTGATCAAAGCTATCCCATCTGCCTTAACAACTGCCCCTTGGCCTTTCCGCGGAGTCCCAATTTCCGTCCAGAGAGCAGAATGCTTCATTTAATCAGGAGGTGGTCAGTTTCTTTTGCAAAGCAGTATTAACAAAATTGTCATTTAATGATGGTCAGAGAAAAACTGTTGAGTACACGGACAACAATTCTCTCATATTTTTAGCTATAAATCGGCATAATAACTATCAATGATGCGAAGTGGTCTCACTGACTTCCAAAACTCCGAGTGGGAACGCTTTGGTAGGAGGAAGGTAAAGGCTCACCACCCTCTGCGCTCTGCCAGGCCTCTCCACAGAGAGTCTGTCCTGACCATTCTCTCGATGAGCTTCTTCCACAGCATGCCGTCTGACGTCACGCGGTACCACTCCTTGCACACAAGCTCAGCAGCACACAGTGATCTGGCGTCCAAGTATGACAGAATGTTCTCAGCAATATGGTCCAGACCCCGTGCTTTGGTGGGGAGGGGGAAGGAAGCACAGAAAAAGAACAGAGGGGGTGCTGAGCAATTTTTCACAGAAAGCCCTTTAAAAGAACAGCACATGCTGTGTGAGGAAGGCATGCCACTGTCCCTAGTGTGGGCCAGTTTCCTTCTCAAGTACAGACTTGGGTAAAATGAGTGTCAATAATTTTTCCATAAGGTTACAGAAATGAACAGTATTTTCCATCTTCTGTTAGATAAGGAAGTTAAAGCTAACAACCAGCAAACCCCCCAAGACATTAAAAATAAAAAGGAGTCCAGAAAACTGTTCACATCTATCTATATGGATTTCAACACTAGGGGATGTTCTATGGATGGCATCTCAAACTCTGTGATTCAGACCCCCCGAAATCTTGATATTAGGTCCATTCCTCATTCTGCTTCTATTACCGCTGCAGTTCCAAAGCTATCCAATGAAAGAAATGCCTCATATGTACTGGGGAGAGGCGGCACACCGGACTGTGCTGGGGTAGGGAATGAGGGAAGCAGACACGGCCACAGGAACACCCTGAGAGGACACACAGGGATATTAAAGTTCGAAGATGAGCTAACTGCATGTGAAAAAAAAAAACCAACTATTTTATTGCTATAAAACCTAAGTGACAGTTGACCAAAAATGAAAAAAAAAAAAACTTACCAATAGATAATGTGGGTAGCATTCGGAAGAAATCACGGCAAACTGACTGGTGGAAAACAGTGTGCTCCCCAATTAAAGCTTTCTACCACCCAAATATGTATCAGAGTCTCAGCGGAAAGGAGCCTGTCAAACAGGACGACCACCCTAATAACACTTCCTGTCATCGCTGTTCTACGCTCACAGGTCAGACAAAAACATTCAAAATTATTAATCTTTGAGGTTTTCTGAAGGCTCAAAAGGTGGGAAGGAGTCATACAGCCTGTCTTCTGCAGGCATGAACTGAGAAGGACTGACAGCATGCATGCGTGTTTCCCCTGAATCATATGGAGACACACTTGGATGCCATTAGCAACAATCCAAATATGCTTATTAAACATTATTCTAATTATAAAAACTGTATGGATATCCGTCACGTCTCCAGCAGACTCAGGGAGAAAGCTTTAGATGGATCTTGTTTGCCGGCATCACATGCTCATATTTAAGCATAAGCAGATGGAGGCATCCATCACCTAATTCTTATTAAAGGAATATGACTATAAGCCAATTAAAGATAGAATAAATAGTTTTTCATACAAAATACAATGATGATACGTTTCCTGAATCTTTATATTCAAAGTTTCTACAACATCACAAGTTTCCAAAAGGCGTTCTTACATTTTTAATGGCTGCCATCAAATTGTTCCTGATCTTTTACAATGTACCAGAGTAATAAGTCGTTGAAAGTAATTTCACCTAACACTCCAAACAAAACCATTACATTAATGGATTATAGGCAATTTTTGAAGTAGTTTGGTTTACTAAATGCAGCCAGATGGTGTAGGTTTAGAAATTTAAATGGCTGTTAAGCACTGGACATGATTTAATACCGGATAGCCCGGTCAGCAGATACACACTAGGGATCAGTATTAGGCATAATACACTAGTTCAATCGACTCCAGTTCAATTCTTAGTGTCTAAGCTTCAAACAGTAGCATGTCTCAACGTGGGAAGAACATGGCAGTAAGTACACTAGGATTTTTTTTTTTTTACAAAGAAAACTGTTTGCCTATGGCTAGAAAAAAATCCAGATGTTTTAAGGGGGCAAACATCTATTTTATTTAGCAAAGGACAGAGATACAATTTGTTTTAAAGTGGCTACATGTAATATAAAAATAAGCATTTCTTTAATTTTAAAAGGTAATTTAAGTTTATAAAAACAAAAATTTAAAAACAGATGGCAAGGATTAAGCAAGGTAATAGTATGTAGTCCTGAAAAGGCTACTAAACAGTACATTATTCTTACAGGAGGACTTGCCAACGTGTACCAAAAGCCTTTTAAAAACTCCCAGGAGAGTGAGGCAGGAGGAATGGTGAAAGTTCAAGGCCAGTCTCAATTATACAGTAAGAGCCTGCCTCAAAGGAGGAGGAGGAGAAAGCCTTCAAAAAGTTCGTGCTTCAAGGCAGCAGGTAAAGGCTAGAGGCAGAGTGTTTGTTGGCATGTGTGAGGCACTGGATTCGATTTCCAACACACCCATAAAACAAACAGCAACAACAAAAAACCCCAAACAAACAAGCCAAAACAAATAAACAAAAAATCAAACTACACCGAAACACCTCATACTCTTTAATACAGCAATCTACTTTGGGTGCATAAGAATGTCCATCATGGTATAATTTATATGGGAAAAATGACTAATGAAGGGATTAAATAATATGTCAGACCACTGCAAAAAGTACTATAGAGCTGGGTGGTGATAGTGTCCATCTTTAATTTCAGCATTCAGGAGGCAGAGGCAGGTGGATCTCGGTGAGTTTGAGGCTAGCCTGGCCTACAGAACGAGTTCCAGGACAGGCTCCAAAACTACTCAGAGAAACCCTGATTTGGAAAAAAAAAAATACCTTAACATATTTAATAAAAGTATACTAGGAGAATATATTAAGCTTTAAAAGACAGACCCCCCAGTTCTATTGGGAAATACACACATGATCAGAATTTTATAATATGTATGTAATTTACAAACAAAGGGTTCTCCGTATGATAGAGTTCTGGGTAATTATATTTTTTACTTTGCATGTATGTGTGTTCACATATGTGTGCATGGAGGCCAGTGAGCCTCAGGGATCTGCCTACATCTGCCTCCCCAGAGCTGGGAAAACAGATGCACTCCTCCCAGCCAAGGACTGAACTCATGCCCTCATGCCTGCACATACTTTACTGGGTGAGCTATCTTTCCAGTCTCTTTTCTTTGTATTTTCTCTATTTCATAACCATCAAATGCAGTCAAAATAAAAAAGCACCCCCAAACAAGACCTGACAGTTTAGTTAACACCAGTGTGTAACTACTTCCCTAACAAATTTGTAGCCCATGTAAGAACTTCATATTCCCATGCTTTGCAGTGTTTTAGACCACCATTCAAGATGGGGTTGGGACACTCTGTAGATGCTACTTAGTGACAGAGTACTTAACTAGTTTGCACAAGATTCAGGGTTCATTCCTATCAACATCCCCTCCCTGCCCCACTGGGGGTACAAGTCAGTAGCAATGTGTTTGCCCTCTATGAACAAGATCCTGGTTTAATCTGCAGAAAAATTATGGCACCCTCTCAAGTATCTCTCTCTCATGTGTGACACACATCAAATAAATGATTTATCATTCTTTCAAAAATACTAAAATAAATAAATAAATAAATAAATAAATAATTCCTATAACTTCAGTATTCTGTCATGGATTGTAGTAGAAGCTGATGCAGGAGGATTGCAGGTTTTTAGCCAGCTTGAACTAGGTAAAGATACTCTGTTCTCAAGTAAACAAGCAAACCAGCAAACATACATTTTTGTGGCTAAAATTCCCATAAATTAAAATCTAAGAATGTGAAAGAAACTGAAAATAAAACACATTATAAAAGTCATACCTGAGGTAACACTCAAGGGTAAAAAACCAGATTTGGAACTGTATATAGATTAAACCAACAATTAAAAACGGCTGAACAGAAGGACACAAAACAAAGTAAAATGGAATTTAATTTTTGTACTTTGGGTTTTCTTTTTTATTTTTCTTTCTTTTTTCTGAGACAGGATTTCTCTATGTAGTCCTGGCTGTCCTGAAACTTGCTCTATAGACCAGGCTTGCCTCAGACTCACAGAGATTCACCTGCCTCTGCCTCCCAAGTGCTACCTACCATGCCCAGTGTCTTTTCTTGTATTAGACGAAGAAGGTATAATTAGTGACTTGGCATGTAACTATAAACCCAAATAAAATTAAAAAAAAAGAAATGTAGCCAGGAGTGTTAAAAGACTTGAAATCCCAGAACGTTCAACGCTGAGGCAGAAGAACTGCAGTGAGTTTGAAGTATATTTTGGCTACACAGTGAATCTGAGGTTAGCTTGGGGTTATGGAGTGAAACCCTTTCTCTCTTCCTCTCTCTCAAAGAGGGAGGTGGGGTAAGGCTGACAGATCCAGTTCCATTACTACTGTAGCAAATTAACTAAGACTTTACAAGGAAGCATACACATACCTGGCAGAGCAGTTATGAAATCCCTCTGCAGCATAGGTTTTAGGTAGGAGTTGATGTGCCCATGCTGGTAATGACACATTTGGGATATAAGGTGCTCTACAAATTCCACTTGATCAGACTCTGACCACTGCTCAAAATACTTGACACACAGTTCCTTTTCCTTCTCATAGCTTGCTGAGAGCTTCCGCTGCTTGGGCACAATCATACTGGAAGTGCCATTGGCAAGTTTTGTCTATAGAAAGGAAGGGAGTAAAAGAAACATGTAACAGTAAGCATTGAAAATGAAGGCAACAGTCTAATTTTCTAGTCTGGCATGCTAATTTGTATCTTTACAAGTGACTTATTCTTGCTGGATTTACAGTAATTGATATTTGTGAACAATAATTATGTGGAAAGCCTTACAGATACCAGAGTAAGGTGGAATATCAGGCATATTGCAGGAAGGCCAAGTATTCATTTCTAAAAGCTCACAGACATTTTTAAGCTACAGCAGTTCACAGATGGAACTGAAAGTCAGAAGTACATAATTATTACCAGCAAGCAAAAAAGTTAATTTGCTTTTTCTTGTATGTAGCGGTTACTGGACATTTAGATAATTACTTCTTCACACTTACTTTTTAATAGTCAAACAAGAAATCTTCCATGCAAAGAAAGACCAATGAATACTTACAGTTCTCATAGTACCTTTGCACAGAAAGTCTAATAATTCATGTGTTAAAGTTAACATTTTCTTTCCAAAAATCCCATCTTCATGGTTATCAAAAACAAAACAAAACAACACTATAGGTTTTTTTATTTTTTTATTTTTGAGACAGGGTTTCTCTGTAGCTTTGGGACCTGTCCTGGAACTAGCTCTTGTAGACCAGGCTGGCCTTGAACTCACAGAGCAGGAAGGGGGAGTATGTTATCATGGCAGTCAAATTTCTCTGATTGCTCCATGAAGATTCCCATCACAGGGCATGCATGTGCTGCACAGATAGATTTCTATGAGTTTGAGACCATACTGTCTACATAGTGATGAGTTCTAGGCCAGTCAGGTTCACACTTTCAAGACAGGGTTTCTCTGTAGCTTTGGAGCCTGTCCTGGAACTCACTCTGTAGACCAGGCTGGTCTCCAACTCACAGAGATCCGTCTGTCTCTGCCTCCTGAGTGCTGGGATTAAAGGCATGTGCCACCACTGCTCGGCTCAGATCTGGTCTTAAAAAAGAATTATACACATACCTTCCCTTAGATCAAACACTATTATAGGTGCTGTTATGCCTAAAATAAGAACACAATCACTGAACTTAAAAGAGATTAATTACTAAATGGAAAACATTCAGGAATATCAGGCAGGATTGCAAGTTCAAGGTCAGCTCGTGTTACTTAACAAGCCTTAAGTTGGCCACATAAAAATTATACATTTTTTCCCAATAAATACTACCTAATTACACGAGGTCTTTCTGCCCCAGAAGGTGGACAGGTATGGAGAATGTGCTCAGACACAAAGTGCTAAGAACAGCCTCCACTGACAAGCAGTGAGGAAACCATGACTCTAGCTTTACTGTGATAGCAGGGACTGGCCTGTCACTGGGAATAAGGTGTGAGGATTTCCTCAGGAGCTTCTAGGTAGGAACTTCGTTGTCAACACAATGATTTCAGCCTTGAACAGAGAATACAACCATGCTGAATCAGACTTCCCAGCTAGGAGCTAACAGAAAGGTGCATTGGAACTTGCCAAGTCCATGATGTTATGCAGCAACTTAAAAAAAAATGTAATTACTTAACTCTACCTGGTCACAGACAGCTTTTGTGACGGGGTGAATGTTGAACTTAACATCCTGTTACATGGAGAAAGAGCAACCTAGGTGGTGGAAATTTTGAGAGCACAGGGTCTGGGATGGTTGGGGAAGCACTCTGATCACTGACTTCCACAGTGTTCTTACCAACTCCACCTTCTCTCTTCCCACCAACTGAGTCTCTGATAACAGGGTGTGGAGTCACTATCCAAGGCGCTAGCCCTGGGAACTTCCACTCACTCCTTAGAGCCTGAGCCACCATGCTTGGACAGAAATGGAGGATGAAAGAGCACAGGGGCAAGTACTCAGAGGTATGAGAGTGACACACACACACAAGGATCCTGACTGGGTGAAGCATGTCCTATCCTAGGAGGTTGATGTGGGAGTCTCCTCTGTGTGCTGTGATTACCATTAATGAATAAAGAAACTGCCTTGGCCTGTTGATAGGGCAGGACTTAGGTAGATGGGGAAGATGGAACAGAATGTTGGGAGAAAGAAGGGCAGAGTCAGAGACACCATGGACCTGTCACCCAGAGATAGACCTGCTGAAACTTTGCTGGTAGGCCATGACCTTGTAGTGATACACAGATTAATGGAGATGGGTTAAATTAATATGTAAGAGTTAGCCAATAAGAAGCTAGAGCTAATGAGTCAAGCAGTGATTTAATTAATACAGTTTCTATGTGATTATTTTGGGTGTAAGCTAGCTAGGCAGCTGGGAAGAACAAGCGGCACCCTCCCTCCAACAGGAGGTAAAGAATGGACAACAGAAGGCCAGCTTAGAAGCTACTTTAATGATTCATGGAAGAGACAGCATCTTTAGACTACAGTGTTGGCTGTAGAAGTGGAGAGAAAGAATTGGTATGCATTGTATTTTGAGGGCAGAGCACTAACTCTGGATGTGGACAGGAGAAAACGAGATGAGGTTCACACCCAAGTCTGAAGCTGCAGAACAGTGCGAAAAGATTCAGAAATCAACAGAAACAGCTACTCCCAAAAAAGTGGTTTTTATATAGGATGATACAAATGAGCACAACTGAATACCTTTCAAAGAAATTTGATGGACAATCGACGTATTTGCCTGAGGTGACCCTAATGAGGCACGGAGACCCATGTTGCTATAGAATCCATCATGCTTATAGATGTTGAATGTGGCATAACACTGCCCCGCCCTTGAACACTCTACTTCTGCTATTAAGGCAGGGGCCTGTCTTATCTTCTCAAACATTTCACAAATGGAACCTGGTCAGCTGCTATTAGTGGATTTTCAGGAATGGCATGAAAGAGCTGGCAGCTATGAGCAGCAAGCCTGGTGTGCAGTGCTGGGGTTTTCTAGCCTAGATGCCATTGTTCCCACACAGAGTAGAAACAATGAAGAACAACCTGCTGGGCACTGGCCATGGGGAGTTCAGGCTACTTTCCATGTAGGCTGTTCGCAACTCAGCAAAGGGAAACTCACCAAAAAAAGGGTAAGATTTAGAGTGCTAGCAGACAGGTGGGCTTACAAGTTTAACCAAAAAGTCACTTCTCATCTCAATAACCAAAGCCAACCATATCATTAACTTTGTCATAAAAGGTAGAAATGGCATGGGGAGGTAGCCCAGAGCACTTGGGGCACAGTGCTTTCTCTGTATGGACAAGGTCCTGTGGCCCAAGAGACTAGAAGTTTATGGTCATCTCATCTGCATAGCAATTTTGAGGCCAACCTGGACTACATGAGATTGTATCTTAAAAAACAAATAAATCAACAAACCAAACAAAACACAGCTAGAGCTGTCCTCCCGCCACACTTTTGAAAATACAGTTTCCTTTCTTAGTTTACTTTTAGAAAATACACAAAAGGTTTTTTTTAGTTTAGTTTTAGCAAGGTTAACATGAAGGGCACAGAACAGTGACTGTCACAGACGCCAGCAGAGACACGAGGAGATGAGCACAGCATCACCAGCTCCACGTGTCCCATTTTAGCCACTGCTTTCATCTCACTGTTGGGACAGGGTCTTATTATGAAGCCCAGGCTAGTTTCAAATCTGTGGCATGGCTTCTGCTTCAGCCTCCAGACTTAGGATTATAGGTGTGCCACTACACCCAGCTAAAATACATTTTTGGACATAATTTACTTATGTAACTTATCACAGCATAAAAAGAAATTTTAAAAAATGAGAAAGTCCCACACATTTAGGAAAAAAACTGATTTAATAAAAAATATTTAATACCCATAAACTAAAAACCTTGCTGAGGGAATATTCATTTACTTATTTGTTTGCTTGTTTATTAAACAGGGTTTTACTATGCAGCCCTGGCTATCTTGAAATTCACTATGAAGACGAGGCTGTCCTCTAACTTACAGGGATCTGCCTGCTCCTGCCTCCTGAGTGCTGGGATTAAAGGGAGTGCACCAGTATGCCCACTGGCTATGTTTTTTAATATAAATAGAGATATAGTACACTCATAAACTGGACTCAATATTGTTTATTCTTTTTAGATTGATCTATAGGGTGAATATATATCAATTAAAACCTCAGCAGGCAAATTATAAAGATTCTACTAATTTGTATAGAGATGCAAAGGGACCTAAATTAAAAGATGGAGGACTCAAGACTGCAGAATTTTATTCTACTTCTTATTACCTACAACCCGTGTGTGTGTGTGCATGCACAGGTGTGAGTGTGGAGGACATTTTCAAGAGTTGGTTCTCTCCTTCCACTGTAGGTTCTGATGATCAAACTCAGCTTGCTGAGTTTGTAAAGCAAGTGATTTTACCAAGTGAATCATCTTTCTGGTTCGAGACTACTGAATTTTAGAACACATGCAATAGTAACCAAAATAGTGTGGCTTTGACATGAGGGGAAAATGTGCACCAATCAACCAAAAGAAATTCATATGCAGATGATTCTTCTCCCTTCCTTCCTTCACCTGATCTCACTGTGTAGCTCACATTGACCTTGTACTCATGATGCTCCCGTCTTAGCCTCTCCAATGCTAGGATTATAAGTGTGTATCCAATACTGGCCAGAATGGTGCTACGATAATCCTGTGGGGGAAAGGATAACTCTTTTTTTTAAAGTTCCCTACCCCACCACGGGGGTGGGGGAAGAGAGTATGGTGAGAGATGGTTGGAATCTGGAGGACATTTGGGAGTGCAGTGGGGAAACCCAGCATAGTGGAAACTCCCTGGAATCTATGAGGGTGACCCTAGTGAGGACTCCCAGTAGAGGATACAGAGCCTGAACTGGCCGCCTTCTGTATCCAGGCAAGGCTTCCAGTGGTGGGGCTGGGACCCCAACCCAGCCACAAAACTTTCCACCTACAATCCCTGCCTGTAAGATGTGCTGGGGCAATGGTGGAGCACAGCTTGTGGGAATAGCCAATCAATGACTGGTGTACTTTGAGACCCACACCACAAGAGGAAGCCTATGCACAACACTGCTTGGATGACCAGGACCCAGAGGCTGG